AAAGTGTAATAGGCTAATTAGACCGGACAGCCCGATGACCTTCCTGATATTCTTCCGGATGAAGCCGGGCTGTGAGGGCCGAGCTCCTTGCACGAATTTTGTGCATCGGGCCTCTAGTAAAAATATATTTTAAAAAATAAAATAAAAAGGGGTAAATTTAGAGACAGACACACAGGGTGACTACCACGTGAAGATGAAGGCAAATAGGGGTGCTCCACAAGCCAAGGAATGCCCGAGTTTTGCAAAAACCCCAGAAGCTGGAGAGCAGCGTGGAACAGACATTCCCTCACGGCCTCAGGCGGAGCCTACCCTGCCGACAGCTTCACCTCAGACTTCCAGCCGCCAGAGCTGTGAGACAGTACATTTCTGTTGTTGAAGCTACTGTTTGTGGTACTTTGGTATAGCAGCCCTAGGAAGATAATACGAGTACTTGACACACAGTGGGTGCTCAATTCATACCTGTGGCATGACTAAGTCAATGAACAGTAAGTAGCTTCCTTAGCGATCAGCCCCTTTCACAAAGCCTGAGACCCACCTGCTCCCAGCATAGAAGGGACGAGCTTCTTTAAGCCCCAGCTTCCTCGCCAGAGACCTGGGAGTAGTAATTCCACCTCCCTCATGAGCTTCCAGGAGGATTCAGCAAGATGACTTCTGTGAACAGAAGCCAGGGAGCACTCCACATCACAGACACTTCAGTGACAGCTCTGCCTGGGGAGCCGTGCTCGGCATACCCGTGACCCTGCCCCTGAACACAGTCTATCGGAGACCTGTTTGGGGACCAAGTGTATAGCAAACACACTGCACAGGCTCAGGAAGTCTGTAAGCAGCTCCTGGAAGACGGAGACAGGGCAGTTGACCTCTGTGTAGTTCCACTCTTTTTAGCAACAGCTGAAACCAAAGCCGAAAGGCATCAGATGACTGCTCCGTGCTCACCAGGCCGGAGCTCGGAGCCGAGGTGAGCAGAGGCTTGCCTGAGCTGCCAGTCTGACCCACGAACACAGGGCAACCGGCAAAGGCTGCAAACCAAACCCCTGGCTTTTGCACCACATGATAAGGGAGAACAGGACTCTTAGAAGTCTTCCCTGTCTGCTTCAAGTAAGGACGGGTGAGGTCCCAGCCCAGAATTCAAAAGGTGCCTCCGAGGCTGTCCCTGCTCTGAGGCCCGGCCCGGGAGGGGGGACAGGGAGCAGCGGCTGGGGAGGAGGCAGGTCTGTCTCGACCTGGCAGGTGCCAAGGGCGTGGGGGTAAAAGAGAGGCAGCAGCTGCCATTTACTGACGACGCGGTGCCAGAGGCTTCACGTCATATGGCACATTAAATCGGCCTCTGGTGCTAGAAGCCTGGTTCTGCTGCTACCCTGCGTTATCAATGGGAAAACGGAGGCTCAGAAGGGGTTTGAGGTCACACAGCTGGTTAGAGCAGCAGCTGGGATTCAAACCAGGTCCTGCCAACTGCACGCCTGCACGCTCAACCACCTTGCCTCATCTGGGTTAAGCCACATGCCCCCGGCTTCTCACAGCCTCGAGGGAGCCGGGAGGACTGTAGTTACTGCTGTCCCTATTTTTGTCACAGGGACCCTGAAGCTCAGGAGGCCCACAGCCACATCACAGAGAAGTATCAGGACTAGCGCCCGGGTCTGCTGACCAGGCCATCAGCACTGAGACCCCTTCGAATTAGACCGGACAGTCAGATGACCTTCCTGATGTTCTTCTGGATGAAGCCGGGCTGTGAGGGCCGAGCCCCTTGCACGAATTTTGTGCATCGGGCCTCTAGTAAAAATATATCTTAAAAAATAAAATAAAAAGGGGTAAATTTAGAGACAGACACACAGGGTGACTACCATGTGAAGATGAAGGCAGATAGGGGTGCTCCACAAGCCAAGGAATGCCCGAGTTTCGCGAAAAGAGGCGGGAGAGAAGCCTGGAACAGACATTCCCTCACGGCCTCAGGCGGAGCCTACCCTGCCGACAGCTTCACCCAGACTTCCAGCCGCCAGAGCTGGAAGATAAGGTCTTTGTAGATATCACTAGTTAAGATATCACTAGTAGATATCACTAGTTAAGATGAGGTCATTAGGGTGGGCCCTGATCCTATATAACTGGTGTCCTTATAAAAAGGGGTAAATTTATGCCCAGCCAACATGGCTCAGTGGTTGAGCATCAACCTATGAAGGGAACCACAACCTAAAGGGCTTCTCAACTCAGCCTAAAGGGTCCTTCCAGGGGGTTCCTGAGGGGGGCCTGGCTCCGCCGCTGCCTGACGCCTGATGAGCGGCCCAGTGGCTGATGGAGATCTGCAGGGGACAAGCAGGGCCCTGCAAG